ATAATAGTTGCGATTTTTCTTCATCTTTTCTAGTTCTGGGATGTCGGTCTTTTTTTCTTTTTGGCTAAGGTTTTGTAGATCTGCTTTAGGGTAGAACAACGATTTTCTTAGATTTTCACTCTGTTTGGACTTTTCTTCATCTTCTATTGCGTTTTGGGTTTTTGATTTTACATAAATTTTTTTTTCTTGCAAAGGTTTTGTAGACTTCTTTGATGAGGGTTACAAGAGAGCCGCAGATGACCGAAACAAAGACGAGACCCGACCCGATCCAAACCGAATATATATTCGGGTCGGTTCGGGTTTGTACGAAAACCGACCCCGACCCAACAAATTTACACCCCTCTTTTTAGTCTGAAGTTGATCCATTTTGCCTTACCCCTCGAGTCTTTATACTTGTCAGGCCAGTATCATGACGAATTTGTTGCCAATTTTCTACGAATTTCTGGGTTTTTTTTTTTTTTTTCCTTTTTAAATTGTTTGAACGTGTTTTCAGTTGAAAGACATGAAAGACCAACCTGAGTTACTGATTCTGTATGCAACTCAAACTGGCAATGCACAAGATGCTGCAGAGAGGCTTGGCCGTGAAGCCGAGCATAGAGGTTGTTCTGTGAGGCTTCTTTCAATGGATGAATATGATGCTGTAAGTTTTCATCTTTTCGTTATCCCCTTTGTTCTGTAGTTAACGAGAAGCTAGAATTATGAGATCATTACCAATCATATGTATATTTGGTGTTGTGGTGAAGGCCAAAGGGACGGCATAATCTGCTCAACTCATTTTCTATTCACAAGGATTGAACATTTTGTCTCAACCCCTGATTTTATAGTCTTGTTCCGCCTAATTGTTAGAATGAGATTTCAATATCTACGCCAATGATAGGATTGGTAAGCCTAAGCAAATTTAAGAATATAAGAAGGACGGCCAGGGGCAAGTAGTTTATGGAGATGATAATGGAAGAAAGGAAAGCCTTATTTTACTAACGGACAAGGATTTGGGGTTTAGTGTTTTAGGAAAAATGGTTTTGGGTACAGAACCGACTACCTTAAATACTGCAATGGCAGAAGCTCGGTGGACGTGTTTGGATTTTAGACTAGGTGATTAGGAGGGCCTAGCTACTCTTGTGTGAAGGAGAAGCTCGTTGTTGCCTAATCTTAACCATCAGATCCTTCTTGATACAATCTTTCTTTGTTATATATTTTTGCTAGGACACAATACAAGAAATTCAAAATGGCAATTGGAAGGAACATTGCAATAAATAACTTATTAAGATTTCTAGAAAATTCACGATTAGAATTGAATAGCCAAAGTCTCCTATCCTCAATACAACGGGTTTAAAATGGAAATGAGATGAAATGTTGAAAATGCACAATTAGCCTTAAGGAGCCAAAGTCTTCTATCATCATGACACCCAATTAAAACACTTGTTGAATGAATGTCTTGAGGTAGTTTCAACTTGTGTAGTCACTAAATTTTTTTTTTTGTTTGTAGTTACATCTGTTCCTTTCCTCCTCTAAGTTTTGTTTAATTTCTTTAAAGAACTTTAACCTTTCGTTCACTGTACTAGGAGTTGCATTGTATTTAGCTTCTGCATGCTAGATTTTCTATATATATTTGTATAGACAGACACTTTGCCTGCTCCAGTAATCTTTTTTTAACCATCATGGTGTGTAAAGTAATCTGGCCTTATTGTTTGTATTGAACGTTTCAGAGTTCTTTACCTCATGAAGATGCTATAATTTTTGTTGTCTCTACCACAGGCCAGGGTGAAACACCAGATTCCATGAGGGTTAGTGAGTTTTTAATTTTTGGGTACAGAAGATATTATTTATATTATTCTGCGAAACATGCTTTCTTATATGATTTGTTTTGGCTGCCTGTTCCTCATTTGATTTATATCAGGTCTTTTGGAGGTCCCTTTTACAAAGAAGTTTAAGTCAATATTGGCTTGAAGGAGTACCTTATGCTGTATTTGGATTAGGTGATTCTGGTTATCAAAAATATAATGTAATATTTTTTCTACTTTTCTTTGGAAGTAAAGCCAATATATGCATTCCCCATTTTTTGTACATTATGAAGTTTATTTTCCTCCTGCATCTTGAATGTGCTAGACAAGGATTTGATGATTACAAATTGATTGCATTATAATTTTGTGGCTACATATTAAAGTACCTGCTAATGTATACTATTGATTCAGTTTGTTGCAAAGAAGCTGGACAAGAGACTTTCTGATCTGGGAGCAAGAGCTATTCTGGAAAGAGGGTTGGGTGATGATCAGCACCCTTCAGGGTAGGCTTCCTTTAACCTCTAATTTTGTTGAATGAATCTCTGAAGAAGCTATTTCTTCTTCTTTCCGTTGGATCTACCTTGCCCTTAAATAGATCTAATTTTATGGTCCTCAAAGCAATAGGAAGTTTCATTTGGAATTGATCTTATTTTGTTGGTGACAACGTTTACAAATATATATATATATATGTTGGTTTATTATTTGTAAATATTAGCTGTAAATTAGTTGTCAATATTAATTATTATTTTATCTTTATTTCCATTTATGTTTGAGCCTATCTTCTATATA